GAACTGTCGCTCGATTTGGAGCACATGTGTACACACCGACCATGTATTTGTTTGTGCTGACCTGCGGATACGTTTTGGCGGACGCCCACGACGACATTGTGAGCACATTGACACCAGCGAAATGGAGGAGCCAGCTTTTCTGAAAGCCTATCAAAGTACGCTGTCATGCGAGTTGAATAAACGCTTACTGGATGCAAATGAAGCTCACCAGTCCATATTCACCAGACCGTACTAGCAGCAGGAAAATCCTCATGTGGTATGTCTAATCCAAAACATAAACATTAGGTCTCTTCGCAGTCTCTGGAACTTACCGATGTTCGCCGGCATATTCCAGCTGGAAACGAACACAATAAAACTCGCAAAGAGCTCCGGGCAAAACTTCGTGCTAGCATGAAGAGAGGCCGCGAATCCTGGTGGTCTCATCGTGCATCAGAGATGGAAATGGCCGCTGCTCTTGGTAACCATCGTAAGTTATTCCGTCTGATACAGGAAACGGGCATCCGGAGACCTGGTGTTGTTAGTGGTGGTGTTGGTGTTACGTTACAAGAGTGGACAGCCTATCCACAACCTGTCAAATTGCTTGAAGCGTTGGGTTGAGCAATTTGAAAGGCAATTTAATCGGCCGGAATCGTTCGATTCCTCACCTGCCACTGATCGCCCCGCTTCGTGGACTGTCCCTCTGGATCCAGCCTCTAGCTCAGAAGTCGAACGTGAGATCGAACTGTTGAAGTTAAATAAAGCCGTGGGACCAGATGATCTTTCTCAAGCCCTCTACAAATACATGGGACTTGCTCTCGTTGATGATTTACACGAGTTACTATTGAAACTGTGGGAGCAAGAAACTATCCCAATAGACTGGAGCCGCTCCGTCATAGTCCCAATTTTCAAGGGAGGCTCACAATCGGAATGCGGTAGTCATAGAGGAATCAGTTTGATCTACATCACCTCCAAATTGCTTGCTTCTGTCAGGCTTCACAGACTGACTGGCACTCGTGAAAGCCAGGTTCGTGAAGAGCAAGCCGGGTTTCGTCGACGTCGTGGCTGCATTGAGCACATCTTCACTTTGCGTGAGTTGTTGGAGCACCGTCACACATATTGGCGGCCCACCGTTGTCGTGTTCCTTGATATCAAAGGTGCATTCGAATCAGTGGATAGACGTGCACTTTGGGACTGTCTACTTAAGTAACATGTACCCGAGAAATACGTAAATATTATCCAAGCATTGTACGCGCGTAGCTCAGACAAGGTTAGGGCAATCTGTCGTCGCCCTTCAATATCTCCAGCGATGTGAGACAAGGATGCCCGCTGTCACCTTTCCTCTTCAGGTTCACAATGGATGAAGTCATGGAAATCGCGTTTAGAGGACACGACTTAGGTGTGGATTTGCTCCCAAGAGAACGACTTCTTGACTTGGAGTATGCTGATGATATTGCTCTAATCTGTGACATCTCACAAACGTGCCAAGCGGCACTGGACAGATTAGCACTGGCTGTACGTTACCCCGGCCTTTGCTTCGCATCCTCGAATTGCAAAGTGTTCCTACAAGATTGGCATGAACCGCGTCCTACGCTGATCCTTGGTGGCGATCAGCTAGAAGTCGTTTAAAAATGCAACTACCTAAGAAGTTGTGTCAGTGCCTGTGGGATTAAAGATGAGATCACGAACCGTATAGCAAAAGGTCGAGGCATTTTTGCTAACCTTCGCCACTTATAGTGTCGGCGCGACATCACTCTCGCCCTGAAGGGTACAGTACAATGCAGCGGTACGTTCGACCCTAGTGTACGGTTGGGAAACCTGGCCCCTTAGATCAGCGGACCTAAAAAGGCTAGTTATGTTCGACTACCGGTGCCGTCGCAATTTAGCTCACATCTGGTGGGAACATTGCATGAGCAACGAGCGTGTTCGACGCCTTGTTTACGGCACAGGAAAAGGATCTGAACCGCTCAACACCGTCATTTCCCGCACCAGGCTCCGATGGCTCGGCCACGTGTTACGCATGCCAGCCCACCGACTCCAGCGACGTGCGTCGTTTGCGTGCCGGGGTTGTGGATGGAAGAAGAGTAGGGGTGGCCAAGCGATGACTTGGTTGAGAGGAATGAAGGCCCTCACTTCGGAGCTGGCCTCAGTTGGAGCGTCTCGGCTCCCTGGTTGGAGTCCGAAAGACGATGAACACGTCTGGCTGGATACACTTGCTGACATGGCAGGGAGACGACCTCAGTGGCGTTCGTGCTGTGACTTTCTTTGTCCCACCCACTCCTCTTAGCCGCCCCCTCCAACCACGATTTTATTATTTAACATTTTAGAATTTTGCATAGTAGATTTTTTGTTGTGGGTGAGTTGTAGCCGGCAGGTAGCTTACCGGAACGATGCCCATCCGTTACCGGTAGCTCAGCTGGTTTGCAGCTGTTTGATATTTGCTCCTTTATTCTTCTATGTATTGCGCACAGTAGCTGAGGTGTTTGCCACCTCTAGCTGATGTATATAGTCCGTGTGTGTGTGATTGTACCACTGTCCGTGCAATCCCATGAGGAGTGGCCTTGACCTTGAGCCTGTGTGTATTCATGGCACCCGGAAGTTGGGCTTGTTGGCAAGCAACAGTTTCGGAACATCGCCAGTGTACGATAATGATAAGACGGTCGGTAGTGACGATATCCGGTAGCTTGACCTATAAGCCTGTTTGCATCAGACATGTCTTTCATGCCACATCATGATGACGAGTCACATGACTTCGAGATGGAATAAACTAATGTTGTGTACTAAGCAAAGGATAATGCATTGTGGGCATTTCACAGCAGTGTCTTCTTAAACTTGTGGCACCAGGGGTGTTTCCATCCGTCTGAAAGGCCCCAGTGAGGGCCGTTCTACTCCATGTGAGTGAGACTTAGCTTCTTCGGTCTGCGGATATGAGGCGTCTTAAAGTCTTTGATTATCGCTGCCTGTGAAGCACTACTGGTGTCGGATGGCACCTGCGTGTTTACAACGATGATGTGCGTAGACGAGTGCTAAACAACTCCTTAGAACAACAGATAGCACTGAATAAGTTGCGTTGACTTAGGCACTGCTTATCGAGAATGGCCTTGTTTTGTTTGCCAGATGTGGAGTGGCGCAAGAGTTGAAATAGGTGAAAATTAACTTGGCAATGAGAATTGAAGCCACTGATTACAAAACTTGGTGCTGTTGATCGGTCCTGCCTCTCAAGCTGGATTCCACGTGACTCGCCTTGTGCTTGGCTCAAGATGTTACAGGACATGACTCGCAGTCGACACCAGTGGCGCATCTGCTGCCGTCTCCTAGTCGGACTGCTTGTTTAGAGTGTGTTTGGTGCTGAGTTATCTGCGGAGTAATGGCTGATTATGACGCGGGGCAGTGAAAGCCGCTAGGAAGCTGTCTCGCTGATGACGTGTTATCGTTGCACGATAGTCAGCTGTTTATGACTATGTACTGTTGACACTATATATATATAGATGTAAGCGCCTTGAGCATGAATGCGTGCTTAGGGTATTAAGGTTTATGCTAGGTCCCTCTTCTCTGTCTCTTATTACTCTTCATTCCGCAGCTCACCAAAAGTATCAGTTCAAATAGCTTATGTAAAGTTGTTGATTGATGACGATCGCTAAACTTATTGGCGAAAGGATAAAAGAAAGAAGAAAGGCATTAGCAGTACGGCGGTACTGCGTACCGACGATTCGCTGCCGCGCAACCACCACCGGTCGCACGGGGGCTAAGGATACTGCAAGGGTCGCCCTACCCCTAGGCAGGCTCGAACGCACGCCACAAGAATACAAGACAGGCTCGTTAGCTTTAGGTTACGGGCCGAGTTGAAGGATACCTGACGCTCTGAAAGTTTATCTCCACCTGGTGAAGCCCAACGAGAACGAAACTGATCCTAGTGTCAAGTGTTGGGAGCGAACAACATCGAAGTCTCCAGAAACCTGACTGCATCCATTCTGATACTGTTCGAATCACTCTTCTGCATATTGTGGCACTTTCTCGAATTCGCTTGGAGTTGATGATCAAGACCTTGAATATGAGGTAGAACTGTGATGCAGAGAAAACATCCAATGTGTTAAACCAACTGGCAACTTTGTTGCAAACGTGTCGTCACCAGTCTAGGTGAGATAATCACTTTAGCGGAAGCGTGTTTCTCACCCTCAGCCAAAGTGTACTGAGAATGATAACGTCATCAGTGTATTAGTGAGTACCGTAGCGTTGCGATGTGTAAGTGAGAACTGGCTAGTCACGCGCGTGACTACCCAGTGTCTCCGACCATTTTCAAAGGTCATGTGGCCAAACGACCGATGACGATGAGCTATAAAAACGCACGTGCGTAATTACCTGGGTCACAGTGACTTACGCATCACTACGCTACGCACTGACGGTGTCACTCCGACTGGTGACGGAACGTTTGCAACAGAACTGTCAACTTCAGAGAACAGTTCGTTTAACAAATGAACAACCCGAGCTACCCGCATGTACTTCTATATCAAAAGCACCCATGGTCCCTCACTGGGCGCTGGTACCAAACAACTCTTCTCTGTCCCAACAATAGGCACGTACAGAAATGGACATGGCTTACCAAAGACTTTAGTGTGGTAAAAGCGCCAAACCGATATGCATCCCGCCAAGTGTGGCACGGGACATAATCGCGCTGGAAGCGATTGTTGAGAATCCACATACGGAACTTCAGAGAAAAAAACTGGTTGGAAATCGCTTGAAAGGCAGCAAGAACCTTGGTGGGTTTAGCTGAATGGATAAACTGGGATATGAAAACATGAAGAGGAGTGTCCGCGTAGGAAGACTAATGCTAGTGCTGTTTTTAAATCTGAAAAATAAAGGAGTACAACAAGGTTCTTGCAATGAATAGGGCCCAGTTGGAAAAACCGAGAGACAAGCAAAGACAATGACCACATAAAATGAGTTCAACCGTTAATACAAGGCAACCGAACACAGCATTATGGCGTGATCGCACATAGCAAAGTGCTGAGTAGAGAGAAGCTTACTCGTGAACACAGGTCGTATGCGGAAACAGATCAGGGTTCCAGTTCACATAGAACACATCAAAGAAGTAGCACAACGACGCGTAATCGATCCAAAAAACTCCGTTGTCTAAGGACTGGGCAGACAATCGGTCGTAATTTAACTTCGCCTGGAGATCCGGTGTCCAGTTACGGGAATCATGTTCAGAGAAGTTGCCCTTCCAACGCAGATGGCTCCAGGGATTCTTGAGCATAAGCAGTCGTTTACCCTAGAAAAAACGGAAATATACCACTTCAAGCAATAATATAACGTACCGAATGCTAAAGGGGCGTCCTATTTCCTATGGACCAGGTCTCACGAACAAAACGAAACATAATAGGGATTGCGTGTAGTAGTGTCGTTTGGCGGCGACATGCTGAACGTAATACTGCTGTCGATTTGATCGTTTCTACACCAGTGTTCACAGTCGACACGCTGTTACATCGCGTTAACACCTGATTACCATAAAGTCCTCAGGTGATCAAGCGCGGTCTCGGAAGATGACAAACTGAAGTGATTAGACCTAAGGCTAACATCAAGCATCACAGAGGTATCAGAACGCCGGCTGAAAAACTGGAGGAAATTTATCAAACAATTTTCAACTAACCAACAGGGATAACCCGATGATCCCATCAGATATACTAGTCTGCTCGTGGAAGTGACAAGATCTGATTTGTGGAGCGGACAGTTAACGATTTGGGGGCAACAGTGCCCTTGGCAAAAACCTCGTAATTTTACTCACGCACGGAGGAGAATGCACTGACTGGTGTCATATTCGCTGGTTCTCTAATGGTACAGAGAATGCGTTACCAAATGTGTGTGCTTTACATCAGGGGTTTGATATGGCTGAACGCGACTTCGGAGAAAAATTTCATTTGCCAGTTATCAGTCAATGTTTCAATAGAGTTTCCATCGAAAATAGAAACGGTAATGTCCATTTAAATCGCAATTATGAAGGAAAGAAGATAGGGTGGTACAGACTTGCTGCTCTCTATGTTGAATCTAAATAAGGTACCCGGCCATAGGTGCTGAGGAAGGAGAGAACTTCACCAGAAATCCGTTTGGCGTTTGGTGGAGTAATCGTAACTGAATGCAGTCCACATGTCAAAGAAGTGACGCGTGGTGGGCGCAACCAGTCAGTTAACGGGGAAACTATGCGATCAACCGGGCTGAACTTTTCTGATTCGACTGGGTATCCGAAGCCAGAAAATCGACGAAGTATTATACCTAAGAGTAGTGACTTTGAATGCCCACCGGTGGCGGAAAGAACAAGGTGGCTATTTTGCAACTCCAGCCTGTGTAGGGGACCGGGTGATCCTCGTAGTATCCTGAGCTCACATGCGACTGTTGGTGGCTATGTGGCAGCGATGCGTCGGTACAACATGCTGCTGATGTCTTACATACCATGCATCACGAGAAATCTTGGTGAACAGAACGAACTCAGTCCAACTGCACCAGATCAAGTAGGGTAGAAAAAATGATAGGGAATGGTAGGAGAGTGGAAACATGGATTTGTTTAAATAAAGAGAAAAGGCGCATAGACTGTCCGCTGAGGCATTTTGAGTCATGAACAAAGGCACAAGATGACTGGTTATCCGGGACAAGTTGTGTGTTATGACTGAGGGTCTTCACTAAAGACCATGCAACAGTACAGCCGTGGACGGAGCACAATCCCATTAGAAAGATTGGTGCGATGGGAATAAAACTCATAGAACTCATTCGAAAGAGACTATATGTAGACACACACTGGGAGACACCAACTCACGTCCACTTCTCGCATATCCAGCAGGGCGTACGCATGGCTAGGCACAAGACCTGTGCGTTTGGCTTCCTCCTCGGACATCTCACCGGTAGCCACAGTGATAAGGCAATGACCGCGATGGAACCGACCGGATAATCGCCGAAACTCTTTATCTTTGTTAAAGTTTACGCTGTTCGACCGAATTGCGATTCGCTCTGGGATCCATCCAGTTAGGGCATGCAAATCGATTCCCTGAAAGTGCGGGGAACGAGGTTGATATGCAGCAATGGACGCGGTGTGAAAGGAGCAATATAAGCAACAGTGGCACAAACAAAATGAATCAAATAGAAAAAAACAAAAACATCCGACAAAAACAAGTGGTAAAAAGATAGCTGAAAACATTCCTGTCCCACGGACCAAGTTTTCCACAGAGAACGTGTTTTTAATTCCATTATTTGTAAGACTTCCTAATACATGTGTCCAATGAATTTTTGAGTTTCGTTTGAAAGCAAAAGGTGTCGATTAGCCTCAAAAGTGAGCTTATAAGGGGATACAAAATTACTGTTAAAAATGAACTTGGGAAATCGGCCGGCCAGTAGCCTAGAGGTAACCAGCTTGTCTCGTAAACTTGCGGCGCGGGTTCTAGCCTGTGTAGAGGCAGGCCGATCCTCACAGTATCGTTATCACACGTGCGACCGGTGGTGGATTCACGGCAGCGAAGCGCCGGTACTGCCTACCGGCGTAATGCTATGCATTTTCCCAAGTAATTAGCAACTACTGCATTGCCCTTTGGTAGGGAAAACAATGGCTAGGTGGAGACCAAAAGCTGCTATGCATGGAATGTAGAATCAGTCGTGTTGTACACAAATTTGAAACGCTACCCAGTTGCGGTGACTATGTACTTTTTGTATCTTATCGTAGCATTCTATGTTGTCTGCCAAACACCAGACATGTTTATCGGCTGCTTACTGGCCACGCGTAGACCTATTCGCTCAGTGGCCGGGACGTCAATGTATCCGATGTTGCTAGTCTAGATTCGTTGGGGGGAGCGCATTTTCAAGATAATCTACCGCCCGCTATCTGTACCCAATTTGCGCTTCGTTTGCTCGAGGTCTATCGAATTCGGTTTGCATACAACCATTTCCCTTTATGAACTTTAAAAGTGCAACAATAAGGAGTATCCCGGCCAGCAGAATGTTCTGAATTCAGTGTATTTTGCGTGTTTTATTCAGCCGCATACATACTATTAGTGAAAATTTTAAACAACGGAAGTGAAAGGGAATCATTACAAAGAGTCGATGACCGGCTGTGATAGTGCCTTTACAGGTAGAGTCAAACCTCGCCACGGCAGAGCAAGACTGGCCACAAATTCCATTTGCTTACACAGGTTGGGCTTTAGGCGCCGAATAGCGGCAGCTTCAACGGACTGGAGCAGGTTCGGAGCATTTTGCTTGCTAAGAACCTTGAATGCATAATCGCAAAGGTGCCTAGGAATTAAGCTAGGTGATTTTTCACCAATATTAGATTTCGCGGGATATGCTCCGGTTTCTGAGTTGACAGCCTTCTCTCAGTTTTGCAGATGTACATGTTACCATACGTACAGTTAAGCTGGTAAACGCATGAGACGGTGACTTGAGGGAGAGGTCTATCTAAGTTGCATTCGTGCAGTAACTTTCTGGTTTGGTGCAGAAGCACGAGCTTCATGGATTGGCGTAAGCGATGGTTAAATCTGCGATTGTTTTTGTACGGCAATGTGATGAAGACCTTTTACTTATAAACCACAACCGGCTTATCCCTCTGCTCTATCCCATACTTCGCAATAAGGAGGAAATGACGATTTGTAATTGCCTCTCAACTGATTCTTCCGAATATATTCGTTGGGATCTCACGTGAATGAAGCATTCACCAAAGTCTGGCGACTTTCCTTTTATCTCTCACGTCTTTGTTCGTCCTCAGTCTGCCACCAGTTGATAATGCGATTCGTCATTGCACTTGTTCTACCACACTGCATCTACTGTTTTGCTGTGACCTTTCCGGGCCTATTGGGTAGACATTTCAAACTACTTCATAGGTCGCTGAAACACATATCCCGATGTAGTGGAATTTCTAAAACAACCTTAGGTCAACACATGTTAAGTTATGCGCAACACTTGCTTCGAAAATACTCACTGATATCA